CAATGGCAATAACATTAAAAAAAATACAAAAAGAATTATAATATTAGAGTCAGGAATTACTAATGCTTGGCAAATTCTTAAAAGATCATAAACAAACTGGGCCCTGTAGCTGGTTAGGTGAGATTGGGCTAAGATTATTCACTGATCCTCCAGGAACTAAGGTTCTCTAATTTCCTAGCTAGTGATGACCTAGGCCAGCATTGGTAGAGAAGATGGAATTCTATGACATGTAAAGCAAAATTTTTTTTTTTTTTTTTTCCTTAGGAATAGTTGTGAAGCACTGTCTGATACGGTGCCATTAGATGAGCCCCTCAGATTGGGCCAAGAAAAGAAACCACTGCCACAGAGTCAATTCCAACTTATAGTGACTTCCATTGGGTTTACAAGGCTATAAATCTTTACAGAAGTAGATTTCCTCATCTTTCCCCCTGGAACAGCTGGTGGGTTTCAACTGCCAATTGGTTAGCAGCCAAATGTCTTACCCACTATGCCACCAGACCTCCTTTCTCAAGTTGGAAGGAACTAAAAATGTGACAGAGAAGAGCTACCTCCTCAAAGTAGAGTCAATCTTAAAGATGTTTATGGAATAAAGCTTTTGGGACTTTCATTTGCTGAGGGGCGTGACTCAAAATGGGAAGAAATAGCTGCAAATATTCATTGATAATTGGAATGTGAAATGTATGAAGTATGAATCTAGGAAAACTAGAAGCAGTCAAAAATGAAATGGAAAGCATACAGATAGATCAATATAATAGACATTAGTGAGATGAAATGGACTGGTATTGGCCATTTTGAATCAGACAATCGGATGGTCTATTATGCTGGGAATGACAAGCAAAAGAGGAATGCCAGAGCATTTGTCATCAAAAAGAATGTTTCAAGATCCATCCTGAAGTAAATACTGTCAATGATAGGATAATATCCAAACATCCACAACAAAGATGAGTTAATACTACTATTATTCAAATTTACTCATCAACCACTAAAGCCAAAAATGAAGGAATGATTTTTACTGACTTCTTTAGCCTGAAATTGACCAAACATCAAACAAGATGCATTGAGAATTACTAGTGATTGGAATAAGAAAGTTAGAAACAAAGAAGAATCATTGGTAGTTGGAAAATATAGGCTCAGTGATAAAAATGACACCGTAGATTGTACAATAGAATTTTGCAAGAACAATGACTTATTCATTGCAAATACTTTTTGTTCAACAACATAAACAGCAGCTATACACATGGACCTCACCAGATGGAATACACAGAAATCGGATAGACTACATCTGTGGAAAGAGGCAATGGAGAAACTGATATTAATCAAAACAGCACCAGGCACTGAGTGTGGAATAGATCATCAATTCCTCAAATGCAAATTCAGGTTGAAGCTGAAAAAAATTTGAACAAGTACAGGAGAGCCAAAATACAACATTGATTATATCCTACCTGAATTTAGAGACCATCTAAAGTAGATTTGATGCAGTGAAAATCAATGACTGAAGACCACATGAGTTGTGGGGTGACATCAAGAGCATGATACAGAAAGAAAACAAATAATAATAAAAAACAGGAAAGTAAGAAAAGACCAAAATAGATATCAGAAGAGTCTGTGAAATTTTCTCTTGAATGGAGAATAGCTACAGTGAATAGAAGAAATGATGAAATAAAAGAGCTGAAAGGATGGATCAAGAAGACAAAGTATTATAAAGATGAAATGTGCAAAGACCTTGAATTAGAAAACCAAAAGGGAAGAACACACTTGGCATCTCTCAAGCTAAAACAACTGAAGAAGATATTCAAGCCTCAAGTTGCAATACTGAAGGATTTTATGGGCAAAATATTGAATGTTGCAGGAAGCATCGAAAGATGATGAAAGGAATACACAGAGTTACAGTATCAAAAATAATCAATGTTCATCCATTTCAGGAGGTAGCATATGATCAAGAACAAATGGTACTGAAGGAAGAAGTCCAAACTGCACTGAAGGAATTGGTGAAAAACAAAGCTTCAGGAATTGAAGGAATACCCACTGAGATATTTCAACAAACTATGCAGCACTGGAAGTTCTTACTCACTTATGCCAAGAAATTTGGAAGATAGCTACCTGGCCAACTGACTGGAAGAGTTCAATATTTATGTCCATTTTTCATGAAAGTTTATCCAAAGAATGTGGACATCATCAAATAATATTATTAACATCTGAAGATAATTCAAAAATGGTTGCAGAGGTATACTGACAGGGAACTTCCCGAAATTCAAACTGGATTAAGAGAATGTGGAATGAGGGATATCATTGCTGATGTCAGATTGGCTCTTGGGTGAAAGCAAATAATATCAGAAAGATATTTACTTGCAATTTATTGACTATGCAAAGGCATCTGACTTTGTGGATCATAACAAATTATGGATAACACTGCAAAGAAATGGAATTCCAGAATACTTCATTATGCTCATGAGGAACCTGTGCATAGACAAAAAAGCCATTGTTTGAACAGAACAAAAGGATATTGCATGGTTTAAAATCAGGAAAGGTGTATATCAGGGTTGTATCCTTTCATCATATTTATTCAATCTGTATACTGAACAAATAATCTGAGAAGTTGGTCTATATAAATAACGTGTCATCAGCATTGGAGGAAGACTCATTAACAACCTGCAATATGCAGATGACACAACTTTTCTTGCTAAAAGAGAAGGGGACTTGAAGTACTTACTGATGAAGATCAAAGCCATTAATATGAATTACATCTCAATATAAAGAAAACAAAAATCCTCATAAGTGGACCAATAAGCAGCATCACATTAAGTGGAGAAAACACTGAAGTTGTCAAGGATTTCATTTTACTTGGATCCACAATCAATATCGATTGAAGCAGCAGTTAAGAAATCAGACATCATATTTGCACTGGGCAAATCTGGTATAAAAGACTTCTTTAAAGTCTTAAGGAGCAAACAATGACGCCACTTTGAAGACTAAGGTGTGTGGGACTCAAACCATGGTAATCGCCTTATATACATTTGAAAGCTAGACAATAAATAAGGAAGACAAAAAGAGAGGTAATGCCTTTGAATTGTGGTATTGGCAAAGAATATTGAAAATATCATGGACTGCCAGAAGAATGAACAAATCTATCCTGGAAGAAGTGCAGCTGGAATGCTCATTGGAAGTGAGAATGGCCAGACTTCATCTCATTTATTTTGGTCATGTTGTCAGAAGGGAACAGTCCTTAGAGAATATGATGCTTGGTAAAGTAGAGGGTCATTGAAAAAGGCGAAGGCCCTCAATGAGATGGATTGACACAGTTGCTGCAACGTCAGGCTCAAGCATAGCAAAGATAGTGAAGATGGTGCAGGACTGGGCAGTGTTTCATTCTGACTCGTAGGATGACTCATAGGGTCACTATGAGTTAGAGCTGACTCGATGGTAGCTAACAATAACAAACAATGCACAAACTAAAGTAATATAATGAAATTTGCAAAGACTTGGAATTAGAAAACCAGAAGGGAAAAACACTCTTGGAATTTCTTAAGCTGAAAGAACGAAAGAAAAAGTTCAAGTCTTGAGTTGCAGTATTGAAGGATTCTACAGACAAAATATTGAAAGATGCAGGAAGAAACAAAAGAATATGGAAGGGATATACCAAGTCACGATACCAAAAACAATTGGTTGATGTTCAACTGTTTCCTGAACTGATGGTACTGAAGAAGTCCAAAATGCACTGAAGGCAATGGCAAAATATGAGGCTCTAGGAATTGACAGAATACCCATGAGATGTTTCAAAAAATGAATATTGCTCTATGGGTGCTCATTTGTCTATGCCAAGAAAGTTGAATGACAACAAGCTGGCCAACCAACTGGAAGAGATCCATAATTGTGCCCATTCCAAAGAAAAGTGATCCTACAGAATTCAGAATTTATTGAACAATATCTTTAATCATGCACAAGTAAAATTCTGCTGAATAACTCAAAAATGGTTTTAGCAGCACATAGACAGGGAAAGATAAATCACTTAGCTTCAGCCAAATAATAGAAAGAAGTTCCGGTGGCATAGTGTCCAAGGCATTGACTGCTAACGTAATGGTTCAAACCCACCAGCTACTCCTTGGGAGGAAGGCTAGGCAATCTACTTCCGTAGAGATACCACCTTAGAAATCCAAGGAGGGATCACTCTGAGTCGGAATCGACTCGATGGCAGTGAGGTTTCTTTTTTTTTTTTTTTTTTTAAACCAGTGGAGATGCATCCTTTAGAACATCAGAAAGGCAACATTTGCATAGGGGGAGAGCTAGACAGACAGGAATGTGTTGGTAAGAAGGCACAGGGAAAGAGTAGTCACAGGGAGGAGATGGGAGGAGAGCTGTTTATTGTTGGGATTGTAATTGGGGCTGTGAAACAAGACAGATAAGAATGTTGAGAGTAAAATAAATCTGCTTTGTAAACGTGCACCCAAATCACAATAACAATTTTTCTTTTTTAAATGGTAAAGTCAGTGTGTGTGTGCTATTCTACTTTCCTTTTTCCCCATCCCTTTCTCCTATCTGCCAAAGGAAAAGACAGGGTTCTGCTAGTGGGCAGGAGGGCAAATTTTCCCTTGTCACTTCAAAAGAAAACAAGAGGAAAGCTGATACAAGAAATTGATTAGAATAAATTAAAATTTGCTGAGCAAATTATTCTTACACCAGGATTCACACTGCTTTCTGCCCTACTTTTCCTTTACTACACAGTTCAATTTTTACTAAAGAGAAACTTAAATAGTTGATACTATTTTCCTAGGAAATTTAAGGACTGAAGACCATAGTTCACATAATCTAAGAGACCCTAGTCCTAAAATAAGATTCTCATTCATTTTCTAGAATCAACTGGGCTTCCCTTCATCCCTGTCAGTAATTAACTGGCAAAGGATCAAAGAGTAAGGTCCTTTGAGAAAACATTCCCGACAAGTAGGCTATCTGAAATACCTTGGCATATAATACTATTGTTTGTCAAAGGCTTTAATATGACTCACCTCTTGCAAGCCATCCATGGAGTTATTTTCCACAATCATGGGGATTTCTGGCTTAGCTTAAAGGCAAATAAAACACTATTAGTGATATTGGACATCATCTAAACTGAACACTAATGTGTTCTCTGAGAGACATTCGTCATTCATCAAATATTTATTAAACACCTACTGCATGCTAGATACCTAGGAAAAAAGGTACACAAAATATATTCGTGACCCTCAAGAAATTTACATTTTCATGGAAGATTCAAATGTGCAAATTAGAAATTTAATACACTGAGCTAAGTACCACGCTTGAGGACATATAGTATTGGAAAAGTTTTTAAGAGAATCTCCAAACCCAATCTTGGAGGATGAGAAGAGGCTTCTAGGAGATGAAACATCTCACAGAATGACGATTAGTGCCAAGTCCAGTGAAACGGGGAATGCAGAGGTGAGGAGATGGAAGAGGTGGGGACAAGGAAGACAAAATTGTTCTATATATCCAAAGACCTAGAAATAAAATATACTTTTTAGGGTCCTGAAAAGGACAGAATAAACACTTGTTACTTGTTTGATTGCTTGGTGTTAAAAAATATTAGGGAATATTTCAATGCTTTTGTGATCTTTCTGCTAGAATGCAAGTGCCTTGAAGCTAATTATTTTATTCCTCTATCTCTAGTACCTATCAGTGCCCAGAACATAATAGACATTCAGTAAATTATATTAAACTAAAGTGGCTTCTAGTAAATTCTTGACTATAGAAGACAAAGCTTTCTATGAAACAGTGGAAAAAAAAATATTAAGACCCCTGTAATGACGCTGCCAGTGCCTGCTACATCCCTTCTACAGTTACCTCTACCTACCGAAGGCCTCTTACTCCATATACCTATGACTCTCAGGACAAGGATTTTCAGGGGGTGTGGGGAACAAACAGGTCATGGAAGAACATTCAGCCCTCAAGTAGGGCAACCAGGAATTCCCATAGAGTTAATGGCAAAATGAAATGGGGAGTCGGTGGATAAATATCCCAGCTTCTTTTCCCTTCATTTAGGATAACTCTGATGTGTGTTCTGTACTGTTTCTGAAAGTTTCCCAGTGGAACTAAGCTATAAACTCACAGGAGTACCTAGCTCAATAATTTCATTTCATTATCTTCCTTCCTTCTCCTGTTTTGCTTCCTCACTCCTCTTCTGATGTTTCCCAAGACTGTTGTTGTTAGGTGCTGTCAAGTCAAGTCCAACTCATAATGACCCCAGGTACAACAAAATGAAACACCACCTGGTTGGTCCTGTGCCATCCTCACAACTGTTGCCATGCTTGAGCCCACTGTTACAGCCATTGGGCCTGTCTTTCTCATTGAGGGTCTTCCTCTCTTTTTTTTTTTTCCCCTTTCTCCAGGATTACTCCCAAATAAATTATTTTAGCTCAAATACTTGTCTCTATATTTTCTTTCAAAGGAGCCCAAACCAGTTTAACATTAAAACACTATTGGGATTAGGGGTCTTTCTGTCTTCTTATTGGCAGAAAAACCTCATGAGAATGAAGGAGCTGAAAGAAATGACAATTGTGAAAACTTTCAGTGGTAATAAGGAGAGGCAGATTCCCTCTGAGGCACAGGACAATCTGGTTTAGAGCTTAGGTGTGGGGGAGAATAACCTTGTGATGGACAGGTGACTCCCTGCCAAGGAAATCAAAGTGACCAGTAAAGATGACAGAGGAGGTAGAGAAGGAAGAGAATGAAGAGTTGGGTGATGAGGTATTGTTGGGGAAGAAGAAGTAACCAGGGTTTAGGGTATATAGAATGAGGGCAGTGGTGGTTCAGTGGTAGAATTCTCTCCTTCCATACAGAAGACCTCCATTTGATTCCCTGCCAATACACTTCAAGTATAGCCACTACCCATTCGTCAGTGGAGTCTTATGTGTTCCTGTGAGGCCAAACAGGTTTCAGCAGAGCTTCTAGTTTAAGACTGAATTAGGAAGAAAACTGGCTATCTCTTTCTGAAACCCAGCCAAGGAAAACCCTATGGATCTCAATGATTCTATCCTGTTGTGCATGGGGTTGCCAACTCAGGCCAGGGGCAAACTCAAGGTCAGCTAACAAGCACAGAGCACACAGCATGGGTCTGTGACAAATCAGTTGCTATTGAGTCAATGCCAAGCCATGGTGACACATGTGTTTCAGAGTAGAACTATGCTCCAGAGGGTTGCCAGTGGCTATGATCTTTTAAAAGTAGCTGGCAAGTTGGAGTGGACTTAAAGCAATGAACTCACTATAAATAAGTGAGACTTCAAAAGAAAGAAATCGTTACTGTAGTCACTCCCATCTTTACAAACTACAAGGTTTAGATTTCCTTCAGAATATTGAACTATGTGACTTCTCATAGTAAAGTATGATTCTAAGTAAAAATAAGATTTTTTTCACTGCTTCTGTCATTCAGAGAAACAGAAAAATACATCTAGCCACCATGCCTCTAGGCTTTGTAAAGTTATTTTCTCTTTGTTTACTTCATTTTTAAAAACAATTAATTTCTTATCCACATTGTTGCTGTTCTTTCCACCTTCCTTTAAAAGTAATTTTTTTAAACAACACAGCTCTTGGTCACAAAGATGGGAAAATATCCAAAGCCAGTAGCTTCTGTTTATTAATATTGTTTTGCATCACTAAGCAAAATAGTGTTTTCATATTTTTCCCCAAATGTGAAGAGTTTCTGCATTTTGAATGAGGCCAGAGTGCTTGTTACAGGCCAGCTCTGCACTCCTGTGAAAGCAGGCTGGGAGGGCTGGATATGCTCTTCCTATACTTTCCTTTGCTAAAGGGGCTGGACAGTCTCTCACCTCAGCTGGTGCAGGTCAGGTAGGGTAGGGGACACTATGGACTCCTGCAGAGGCACTTCACTACCTTCATCTTCTTACATTACCCCCATTCCTTGTTGCTCTGGCAAGTAATTTCATTATTGTTGTTTCTGGGAGCTCTGGTAGCATAGTGCCTAAGGCATTTGACTGGTAAGCAGAAGGCTGGCAGTTAAAACCCACCAGCCACTGCCTGGAAGGAAGATTGGGAAATCTACTTCCATAGTGATACTGCCTCAGAAACCCAAGGAGGTGTTGCTATGAGTCAGATCCAACTTGACAACAGTGAGTTTGGTTTTCTTGCTTTTATTGTTGCTGGGTGCCATTGAATTGATCTCTGACTCATGACAACTATGACCATTCAATTAGACTTTTGCTATTATAATTAATTACCAATATTCTTAAGAAATATTGAAGTTGTAAATAAGGTATTTCCTGGTGGTAACCAGGAAATTGACTGACCTATAGCTTTATGGAGGTCCCTGGGTGGTAAAAAGAGTTTGCGATAGGCTGCTGACCTAAAGGTTGTTGGTCTGAATCCACATGGCAATACTTCAGAAAAAAAATCTGGAGATCTGGTTCTGTAAAGATCACAGCCGAAAACAAACAAACAAACAAACACATATGGAGCAGTTCTACTCTGTAACACATACAGTCACTGTGAGTTAGAATCAACCTGATGTCATCTAATAACAACATGGGTTTGTGAGTGATTTTATTCTGTTGTTGTTGTTAGGTGCTGTTGAGATGTCTCACAGTAGAACGAAACATTGCCCAGTCCTGTGCCAGCCTCATGATCCTTACTATACCTGAGCCCATTGCTGCAGCCACTGTGTCTACCCATCTCATTGAGGGCCTTCCCCTTTTTCGTTGACCCTTCACTTTGCCAACCATGATATCCTTCTCCAGGGAATGGTTCCTTCTGACAACATGACCAAAGTAGGTGAGACAAAGTCTGGCCATTCTCACTTCCAAGGACCATTCTGGCTGCACTTCCTCCAGGACAGATTTGTTAGTCCTTTTAGCAGACCACGGTACTCTTAGCATTCTTCTCCAACACAACAACTCAAAGCATCAGCTCTTCTTTGGTCTTCCTTATTCATTGTCCAGCTCTCACATGCATAAAAGGTGACTGAAAATACCATGGCTTGAGTTATACTCATCTTAGTCTTCAAGGAGACATCTTTGCTCTTCATCACCTGAAAGAGGGCCTTTGCAGCAGATTTACCCAATGTAATATGTCATCTGTAGTATGTCTTGACTGCTGCTTCCATTGGTGTCGATTGTAGAACCAAGTAATATGAAATCCTTGACAACTTCAATCTTTTCTCCATCTACCATGAAGCTGTTTATTGGACTAGTTGTGAGGATTTTTGTTCTATTTTATTCTATTAGCTGAATTATCATTCTGTAGCCTGCTACACTTGTCCCTACCACGATAAGAAAGACAAGTGTCCAGAAAAGCCCCTTGGTGACCACTTTTCAATGTATCGGAGCACCTCCCCTCCAGAGAAGAACAAAGATAGGAAAATGGCAGGGAGTGTAAAGAACTCAGAGCCTTACCAAACACTTTGACCATCGTGGTGCTCCTCAAGATCTTCCCAGGCCTGACTGTAGCATGGCAACAGAACTTCCGGTCATTATCATGGATTTGGACTGGAGAAAGGTAAAGTCCATAGTCTGTACCTAGTTTGACTCTGTCTTTAAATAATGTAGAATTGCTGATGGTGTGATCTTGAGTGATAAGGGTTTCCTGAGTTCCATTCTCTTCCTGGAAAGACAAATAGTTATCAGCTATTAAGCACTCAATTGTGTACCAGTTCTGGATGGTGTTCATAGAATTAATTCTTCTTCTTCTTCTTTTTTTATTGTAAAATAGAGATGGTGAATGAAGTGTCGCTAGAGAAGGTATAATTACACTCAATTTTCAATTTAAAACAGCTGTCATCCTCTCCTAACATGAGTAGAAACTTGCTGCCCTTCTGACTATACCTTCCTTTTTCATAATCCTCCAAACCTGTATATCTGCGGTGGGTTGTGGGGGCTGATGGAAGGCCATATTCTCATTAGGAAGTTCTGAAACCTTAATGCTAAAATGTATAGAGCAGGCTGTATCAGTTTTGCTTATTAAATCCTCACCTAAACCAGATGATCATAGCAAAACTGTCTTCCCAGCATTCCTTTAGAAAAGGTGAAATTTTAACTCTTCTTAGATCCAGGACTAGAATGAGAGATGAGGTAAAGAGGCAAATACGGTGCACAATTTAAGGAGGCACTCACTCTCAGAATCTTGTAAGCACAGGGTCAGCACCTGAGAGTGAGTGCCTCTTTAAATGTCACCTCCTCTAGGTGGCACAAACTGTTAAGCTCTTGACCACTAATGGAAAGGTTAGTGGTTGGAACCCACCCAGCAGCACCTTGAAAGACTGGTCTGGAGATCTGTTTCTGAAAAGTCACAGCTTTGAAAATGCCATGGAGCTCAGTTCTGCTGTGCACACATGGGGTCACCATGAGCCTGAACCAGTGATAACTGGTTTGGGTTTGGTTTGGATGGGCTCTCTTACTTCATCTTAGTCATGACCTTGGCCCTGATCTGTGTGTTTGTGCCACCTTCAAAGAAGATGCAAAGGGGATGCTATAAATGTTAACATGGTTTTGGAGATCAGAATTTATTTGGAATTCTTGGTTCCTCCACTTCACATCCTCTCTTGAGTCTATGAAAGATCCCAAAAACCAAATCCACTGCTGTTGAGGTGATTCCACATAGAAACCACAGGGGACAGAGGAGAACTTCTTCGGGGTTTCCAAGGCTGTAAATCTTAATTGAAGCAGACTGTCACATCTTTCTCCTGCAGAGCACTTGGTAGGTACAAACCACTGACTTTTTGGTTAGCAGATGAGTGCTTTAACCACTGCTTCAACAAGTCATCTATGAAGGGCTCCTGTTTGCCCTGCCCAGAATTTCCATTGAAGAAGCCCTAGGGTATCACAGTGCTGGTCAATGTTAGTAAATATATCAAGGGCCCAGCAAGGAGGGGATGAGTGAGGGACAAAAGGGTAGAGAAGGGTTAATTCCCCATACCCCTTTAGTATTCTCAATCTCAGAAATATTAAAAGAATTCTGGTGCACAGGCTCCTGATTCTAATTTAGTTGGTTTTAAATGAGGTTCGAACTTGGGCATTTATGTTTTAAAGCCTTCAGGGGAGCCAGGGCTGAGAACACTGGTTGCGTTCTAAACAATGAATGAATCATGGTACACAGATGTTGGGGGGAATGGAAGGAGCTGGAATGGAGAAAGATGAACAGGGAAGTAATAAGTAAAAAAAAAAAATTTTAAAAAGAAAAATCTGTGTCTCAGAATCTCCAGTTTAAAATTCTAGAAAGATTCATGGTAGTGAGTAAAAAAATTCAAGCATCAGATTAGATCAGAAACATTATAGAAACGTGAATGCAAGCTTCTCAAATAGTTTAATTACATAGATATTTCCAGAATATACTTAGTAGAAACTTCCATGTAAGACACAATTCCTTAGCTGCATATGGCTGGGATTTGTTTCAACTTTATTGCAGGTAGTATCACAAGTAGGAGCTCTTGTGGCACAGTAGTAGTTAAAGCATTCAACTGCTAACAAAAAAGTCAGCAGTTTGAATCCACCAGCTGCTCTGTAGGAGAAAGATGAGGCAATCTGCTTCTGTAAGTTTTACAGTCTTGGAAACACTATGTGACAGTTCTACTCTGACAGCATTGCTATGAGTTGGGAATTACTCAATGGCAGTGGATTTTGGTGGGTAGTTGAAAACGGGCATGGTGGTGGCATCCTCTGACCTTCTCTAACTTCATGAGGGAGAGAGAGAATCACCATCAGCAAGAGCTCATAGCTGAATCCTATGAGGTGGAAGTCAGACATGCTCCTACCCGTCAACCTTTTTACTAGTTCTGATACCAATTGTCCCTCCCATGGCACTTTCTACTTCTCTGCTGGTTTTGATAATTCCTTCCAATGGTCACACAGAACTCACAGACAAATTTCACAAGTATGGGGTTTATTAGGGAAATAACAGCTTGCAATTCAAGTTCAGGAACACTCTCAGGATACAATTCTTCGATCAGGACAACTTCTTCTCGGCTGTGCTGTAGGCATGCTTTTCTCCTGCCTCAATCTTTGCCTTGCTTGAGCCATGTTACGCTTTGATAATAGGTGCCCAAAGGGGCACCCCACTCTTCCAGCAAGCCTCTTGCCCAGAGGCACTCAGTTTCCTCGCTCCTTGGGCTGGGAATCTCAACACTCTATCTCAAGCTACTCTCTTGGTTCTGCTGCCTCTGCTATGGTTTCTCTGCCACATTGTCTCTCTGCCATATCCCTCTGTCTCTCTAATATCTCAGCACAGAGATCTCGAGTCAAAGAACATGTTCCACTCCCAGCTCTTCTGTCTTGATGGCAGTGAGGGCCCTCTTTCTGCCTCTGGGATGGCTCATTTTAAGCCTAGCAGAATGGCAAAACTGACCAATTCCCATGTTAGGATTCCATACACTTTATTTCCATAGTTCCACCCCCACAACGGTGCTATGTACATTATTTGCATTATTAACAAGCTATCTAATCCTCTTGGTGGGCCATAAGCACCTTACATTTACACAGTTCCACCCAGTCTTCTGGTAGAAGTCACAAAGACCGTGGCTAGAAGAGCCATACTAAGTAATTCACTGCACCACAGTAGTATCACAAGGGCATTGGTGATTCATTGGTAGAACTTTTACCTTCTGTGCTGCACACTTGGGTTTGATTCCAGGTCAATTTACTTTATGTGCAGCTACTGCTTGCATGACAGGAGAAGCTTGAGTATTGCTATGATACTGCACAGGTTTCAGAGGCCCTTCCATCTAAGACAGACTAGGAAGAAAGGCCTGGCCAATGAAAACCCTATGGATCACAACGGTTCTGTCTGCAGTAGATTATGGGAATGGTGTAGAACCAGGCAGTGTCTCATTCCATTGGACATATGATTGCTTTGAGTTGGAGGTAGACTGAACAATGACAGCTAACAACCACCACAACAAATACAAGTACTGTTGTTATTTTCAGGTGCTGTCAAGTTGATTCTGACTCAAAGCAGCCCTATGTACAAAAGCATGAAACACTGATCCTGCACCCTCTACTTCTCCAGAGAATGGTCCCTCTTGATAACATGCCCAAAGTATGTGAGACCAAGCCTCATTCTCCTCACTTCTAAGGAGCATTCTGGCTATACTTCTTCCACGACAGATTTCTTCATTCTTCTGCCAGTCCATGGTATATTCAATATTCTTTGCAAACATTATAATTCAAATGCATCAATTCTTCTGCATCTTTCCTTATTCATTGCCCAAGTTTCACATGTATATGAGGTGATTAAAAATTCTATGAGTTTGGCCAGGACTCCTAAATCCTTTAAGTGACACTTTTGCTTTTTAACAATTTAAACAGGTCGTTTATAGCAAATTTGCCCAAGGCAATATGTCGTTTAATTGCTAAACTTTTGCTTCCTTAGGCATTGATTGTAGATCCAATTAAAATGAAATCTTTTTTCAATTTTTCATGATGTTGCTTACTGGCCCAATTGTAAGGATTTTTGTTTTCTTTATGTTGAGGTATATTCCATACCGAATGCTGTAGTCTTTGATCTTCGTCAATAAGTGCTTCAAGTTGTCTTCACTTTCAGCAAGCAAAGTTGTATTACCTGTGTATCATATGTTCTTAATAAGTCTTCCTCCAATCCTGATACCTCATTCTTATTCATATACTCCAGCTTCTTGGGTTTTTTACTCTGCATACAGATTGAATAATTATGGTGAAAGAATACAACTCTCACACACATTATTCCTAATTTTAAACCACACAGCATCCCCTTGTTCTTTTCAACCAACTGTCTCTTGATCTATGTACAGGGTCCTCATGAACACAATTAACATTCTTCACAATGTTATCCATAATTTGTTATGATCCACACAGTGGAAAGCCTTTGCATAGTCAATAAAACACAGGTAAACATCTTTCTCGTATTCTCTGCTTTCAGCCAAGATCCATCTGACATTGGCTTTGATATCCCTAGTTCCATGTCCTCTTCTGAATCTGGTTTGAATTTATGTAAATTCCCTGTTGATGTGTTGCTGTAACCATTCTTGGAAAATTTTTGCTTGTGTAATATTAATGATATTGTTTGATAATTTCTGTATTTTGTTGGATCACCTTTCTTTGGAATGGGCACAAGTATGCCTCTTTTCCAGCCAGGTAACTGTTTTCCAGATTTCTTGGCATAGATGACTGGGTGCATTCAGTATTGCATCCAGTCTTTGAAACATCTCAATTTATATTCTGTTAATTGCTGGAGTCTTATTTATTATTATTATTATTTTGCCAATACCTTCTGTGCAGTTTGGGCTTCTTCCTTCAGTGCCATTAGTTCTTGGTATATGCTATCTGCTGAAAGAGTTGAACATCAACCAATTGCTTTTGGTATAGTGACTCTAGGTATTCCTCCTATCTTTGTTTGATGTTTTCTGTATTGATCAACATTTTTCCCATAGAATCCTTCAATGTTACAACTTGAGACTTGAATTTTTCTTTCATTCTTTCAGCTTGAGATATGCTAAACATGTTCTTCCATTTTGGTTTCCTAACTCCAGATCTTTGCACATTTCATTATAATACTTTGTTTTCTTGAGATGCCTTTTGAAATCTGTTCAGCTCTTTTACTTCATCATTTCTTCCATTAGCTTTAGCTACTCTACT